AGATAAAACTGCAGCAGAAGAAAACCAGGAAAAGAAAGAAAAAGAAGGTGGGTGATGCTATACGTAGAACACTTTGGCTTATGAGAGGGTGTGCCTTTGTAGGTGAAGGTGCTTTTTTCTTTTTTCCGTAGCTGCTTTCTTGCTAGTGGGTTGATTTCAGTATTCCAGAAAGTTTTATGGGGTCAAAGGTGATTGAGGAGTCCAGAACAGCTCACAGAGGCCTTCTTTGGAATGGGTGAATTTCAAACTGGGCTTCAGGGGGACAGGGGGGATGGACCAAAAAATCCCAAAACCACAAAAAAGTCAACCAACCCCCAAAAATCTGGGACAGGGAGAATTGCATACTTGCAGTAATACTAAATTCAGTAACTTCAGCATAATACTTGCCCTCTCAATTACCAGTTTTGACAATGATGGCCTCTTCTGCACAACCTTAGCTGGTGTGAAATAAACTGGTGGTTTTCACCTGTTGTTTACCAGCTGTTCTTCAACTTACGTAGGCAGATGATGCAGATACTACAGGTGACTTTCAGATGTTTATGATATGTTTTGGTCTACTATTGAATTATATTCGAAGGGTAGGATCTTAATTTGTGGTATGGTCTCTTGACTAGGTAACATGGGTATTTTGTGCTTTATATTCATGCTTATATATTTTCCCTCATGAATTCTGGAAGATTCTCTTGGGTATGGGAAAGCTCTTTTCAAAGAAATGGGAGCGCTCCCAAGGATTAAGATACAGAAGTGCAGTTCAGCCAGAAGTTACTTAATCTCAGGTAGCAGTATATTAACAATGGAATTGGTAAATAATTTTCCACTGTGGTTCTGACAAAGGCACAAGCGACCTGTGAGATTACAGTCATTGGAGCCAAAGATCAGTTTTCTTCTGCACTAGGAAAACAGTTCTAGGAGAGCATTCTGCAGAACATCAGTTACTTAATTATATTTTAGGTTAAATAATCACTGTGATATGTGTTCAGTTCCCTGAAAAATGGGTTTTGTGGTGAGAAAAGCTTGAAATGCATACCGGAGTGAAAGGTTTCGAACGTGATAGTATCTTTGCCTTCTACTGTAATATTTGGACTTGAACTCTCCAAAATGTGTTAGTGTGTATGTGTAATCTTTACACAAGTTCTACTGCTTGAAGAAACCTTTCGCCCCAAATACAGATTTTGTCATAGGGCCAAGACCCTTTGTGCTGGAAGGTCAGTTTGCATATGCTGACCATGGTATAATGTATCAAGTGTGTTATGACATCAGCATAATACATATGCTAACGCTTTTGGTTTTACTGCCCTGAATAAAATATTAAACATGATCCATGTCTTTATTTTTGTAGAAGAATCTGTTAAAGCAAGCAATGGAGATCTTGCCAACTCTACACCTGCAGATCCTGTTGTGAAATGATATGGCTGGTACGGGTGATATTACATACTCAAATAATTCATGTTCTTGTCGTTACCAGTAACACTCTGTAGGGGTAAAAGCTCTAGATTTACTTGCTCTGTTAAACCCAACAGAAAATGTACAGTAGTATGCTAGCATCCAGTGAGGCTAGGTCAGTGTTTGTCTATATTTCTGGTAGAAACTCCTATTTTTCAGGAGTCTGCATTATTTACAGCACTTTCTTTAGATTGAAAATAATTATCTAAAATGTTGACCTTGGAGGTAGTTATTTTAAAGTACAGATGTGCAGATGAAAAAAACGTTACTGATTTTTAGATGCATTCTTGCATCTCTAACATAGCATTAAAAAAAAAAAGACTCATAGGCCATTGGTCTAAGATTTGAACTGGTGTACCTCTTCAACCAGAAAAAAAGTGAATCAAGATATTGTGTGTATCTGTTGTCCAAAAAAGTAATTCAGACTTGTTTTTACGCAGTCCTGTTGTATTTAATGCAGTCACAGATTACACTGGAGGTATAACAGTGTATGTTGTGAGTGTATGTTCAAGCTATTACACAAAATGGAAATCCTTATTAATGTTTTATTCCACAAACCCTTATTATTCCTATAGATATTATTTGCACTGTGGGAACTTAGGATCCTGTCAGGCATTTATTTTCCCCTGCTGTTTTTCCCCCCATATCAGAGAATGGGAAAACCAGAAAAGTTAACATAATAAATTACTTCTCATTTCATACCGAAGGTCTGATTTGCATCTACAGAAGTAAGGAAATCCAGAGCCAAGACAGAACCACAATCAGCTCTTCCTTTTATGACCAGACACTGTGTGATGGGTGTCTGTAACTATTAAGTGATCTTACACTTCATGAATATGTTGTGCCTAATTGCAAGTTTCAGCCTCAATTCTGTATTTCCTAGCCTTTGTAGGTCTGTTGTACTGTCTGTGTTGTTCATACAGTCTTACATGCCTGATTATTAACAATAATTGCACTGCAGGCTTCAGAAGCTGCTGAACACTGTGAGAACTCTGTATAAATACAACATCTGTTAATGCCTGCAAGTAGAGGATCTAGATTGTGCAAGAGTTACTCAGATTTTTAACTTAAGTAGCTAGACTTGGCTTAAAAGTAAACACCACTTTCATTAAAAGATATAGTTGTGTTTAATCTCCCAGAACATAAAACACTTGTAGGACTTACTAACTAGAATAAACTATTCCAGTCAGTCCAACTGAGAATTACTTTTTGGGGTTTTTTTTTGGCACTCTTAGCTATATTTTTAGACTGTACTTGCCAGCTTCTTTCATATCTTCTAATTATAAAAAAGACACTGTTTTAATGGTTCAAATTGTTCCACCCACCCTTGGGTTGCTGGTTAAGACAACTCCTGACCTACTTCTGCTTTGCCCTTTCCTGCCAGTCACTTCAACATTCAGAAAGCTAGGACAAATGTTTTGTTGCAGCTGGAAAGACCAGACTGGTAGGAAAGTCCTTTCGTTGGTTCTGAAAACATGACACAGAAGCTTCATGGACTGTGTAAATCAGCTGGGTTCATTAAAGTTTTTATTTTTAATTCATTGTAATTGCAGAGACTGCCCTAAAGAATGCTGCATTACTTGATTTGTATTTTTGCTTTATTTTGATACAGGTTTTTTTTTTGTAATTTGTGTACACTTCCTTTTTTGACCAAGTTGTGCTGGCACTGAATACTCAGTAGCACCGCTGAGATCGGCATTTTTGCTGCTGCTGCTAATTTCCATGCTGTTGCACTTGCAGTGTACGTATTTCCATATTATCTCATCCAAAGTCACGTAAATCCTTGGCTTGGAGTGGCCAAGCACCACCTTTCCTTCTTCCCCAGCAACTGCAGAATCACGTGTAGATGGTGTCCTGTTTCCCCCAGGACTTGCTTGGTAGCTACGTACAGCCACGGTGTGACCCGTGCTCTAGTAAAATCTGCACTTGTATTTTCCCTTGTGTTTTTTTGGAAAGACACTATCTTGGATAGGTAATACTTTGCAGTTGAACATAAATTGAACTCTGCATTTTCTTAATGTATGGTGGTTAACAAATTCCTGTGGTTCTGGTGATGGGAAGTCTACAGGAAAGACATAAACCTGTTTTTATAGAACCCTGTTTAATCTGGGAGACCTGAATGTATTGTGGCAAAAATATACACATGCACACAAATATGTACAGTGATAACAGCTGTTCTTGCTAAAATACAGGATTGTAGTTTATATTTCCTTCTCTTTGTCATGGAGCAGCATATACATGCAGAAAACTTTTCTTATCTGAAATAGAAGGTGGATCCTGGATTTGGATGTCACACATGCCTCAGTGAGAGTCACATTAAATCCTTCCCCCCTCCCCACAAGGATCTGTAAAGAGGTGCAAAATTCTTGCTGTGGTGCTACTACTATTTTCATTGCTTTTGCCCTCCTGTTTCGATTATAGGAACATCATGGACCCTAACGGGTTTTTCTGGAGATGAGATGATGGAGCTAAAACAAAAAATCCCCCAAACTAACCTGACCATGCTCACTCAAAATTCCCAGAGGTGATAAAAGGAAAGTGAGGATGAGGAGTTTGCTGCAGGGACAGAAAACAGATCTCTCGTTTATTTTCCTTCAAGACAGGGGCAGGACAGGCTGAAGGTCAGTCTCTCTCCCTGAGAAGGCAGCTGCCACCACTGCCCTTGCGTGTCCAGCCTTGTGACAAGGCTGTCACACCTAGAAGGGGTAGCAGCTGCTCTCCCAGAGGTCTTGCAACCTGCTTCTGCCATGGTGCTGTGCCCTTAGAGGCAGGGGCTGCCCTGCCCTTCCTCTGTGCAGCATCGTGGTTAGGGGGAGCAGAGCGCAGCTGAGCCGGACTGGTGTAAGCGATGGCCCCAGCAGCACCCCACTGGTCTGTGCTTGACTGGGGAACGAAGGGCTGGTGCTGAAGGGCAGGTTCTGGAGGTCCTAATGTGGTCTGTAATCAGAAGTAAATTTGAGTTTTCATCTGATGTCCATCAACAACAGCTGTTTTCAGCTTCTCAGGTACAAAGGACCAAATGTAACACTTAATGTTTCCTAACTCATTGTACAAAAGGGTATTTTGTTACCTCGGTCTCTTTGGTTTGTGAGTAGAGAACATTATGTACATAAACCTGTGTTAATAAATGCAATTTTGAGAACCTTATTCTTAGTGTCTTCAGTAACATCAGTTTACTTAGGTGTTCATTTTTTTTGATAAGACAGCTTCAACTTTTATTTATGAAGGAGTTTTTGTGTCAGTTACTAACAGTTTTCTTCCATGGTTCATTTAAACATTCAATAACCAGCTAAACTGAATTTATTCCATGTCAAACACTTGCGAATGGGGATCTTTCAGGTGCTGTAGCACAGATTCTGCTTACAGAAAATCTAGTTTCCTAGTAAGTGATTGAGAAGAGTTAAATTAAAAGTTTGAGGAATTTCAGCCATACTTGTTCAAATTGCCTTACCTTGATTAATATAAACTATGCCACAGATTATAGCCCCCCCAACTACTCTTTATTTTTTTTATTTTTGTTTGTTCTTGTAAAGTATAGTTTCATGTTTTCAGGTTAAACTGGAGGGGAAAAAAAAAATCTAAACTTATTCACCAAATATAGCTAGTGTCTAATTTTAGGAGGGTACTATGAGACTAGTCAATACATTGTAGACTTACAATCTAGCTTTTTATTGCTCAGTTTCTTAAAACCAAAGATTGCTGGTAGTTTCAGCTGTTGCATGTCACCATAATGTTAAAAATACAAAGAATTCTTATTACAAAAGTACTTATTTGTCCTACAATTATCATCTCTGGCAACTTAACTTTTAAGAAACCTAACCATAGAAAAACTGCACAGGACTAACATGCCACATTTGTTGACTACTTCTGATGTTTGCATGTCAGTGGTATTTAGAATAATAAATCAAGGGGTACATTATGTCCATTATTTAATTACAGAACATGTGAGTGCAGTCCCCATGAAGGTACAAGTAGGCACTTAGATTTGTTTTGTAAGCTTATTCTAGATGCAATACAAAAATAGATTATATTAATAGGAAAAATTTAGTGTTTAACAAATTGTTTTGTAAATAGGCTAGCACAAAAGATAAATCTTGTTACACTTAAAACTAGACTAAAAATAACTTCATCTGAAAATAAAGTAAATAGTGCATTTTTAACCTTCATTCAGATGCACATAATCATGCAAACTATGAAAACTGACTACGGCAGGAAATTTGAGGCCTGATATTTGTTAAAGGAGCTGCCAGCTTACAGCTTGCCCTAATTTCAGTGGAATTGTAGGCTGCTGGCACTGTAAATCTGAAGAAGTGAGATTAACCCTTTGTGGCTGAGAGCTGTGCTGTCCTAACTACCAGCAGCAAGGGGCTAATGCTGAAACATTCCCGGAGATTGTCAGCTTCCCAAGCAGACCTACACCTGACAGTCACAAATGCAAAAAGCCTCAAAGGTCAAGTCCTGCTGTTGTTCTATTGTACATCCAGAGGAAGCTCCACTGGAAGGACGCCACGCTCTCCCTAGCAGGAGGACAGAAGCTGGCCTCGTGTGCACACAGATGACTGAAAACCAGAGATTCTTGCAAAACGGCTCCCTGCTTTTCCTGCTCCCACACAGGCTGCAGGAAACGACAGGAGCTTTTTATGCTTCTGACTCCTCCCCTTCTTCATGTATAGTTCCATCTCCTTCTGACTGATCATTCAGAAGCATGAACTTTCCATCGTTTGTTAATGGCACAGACTTCATTAGCTGAGCTAATGCTTCTGGGTCCTGAAGAAAAACAAACGAGAGTTCAGCAGGCAGCAGCAATCTTGGAAGAGCATGCTGTTTTCCCAGTACTTCTTGTTAAGGCTTTGCAATTTTTTTTTTTTTTTTTTTTAATGACAATCTTTAGTCTAAAGGTTTGAAACACAAATAATCCCTTTTGGTGCAGTAAAACCACCCCTTAGGTATATAAGAAAAAAAAAAAAGGTAATTCATTCTGAGCCTTTATTTTGCTGTTCTTATCTGGTATTGATAAAATTACTGAAAAACACAGAGAAAAATAACTGTCTAAATAAATTTATTATACCTGTGCTTATTGCCTGCAACTAAAAGCTCATTCCCCCAACTTGTTCTGAAATCTTAGCAGCGACAATATAGAGCATATATTAATGTATCAGCATCACATCTTTGTACAGATAAACTTTGCCGTTCGTTTTAAGTAGAAAAACACTGTGTGTTTTTCATCCCTAAGGGAGGAAGGAATATGAGTTTCTAAAAGTGAAACAGCCATGTGTGTAACTTACACATCATCCCAAAGAGTTTGTTTGGGTTTTTTTTAAAGCTTTACTTACAGCTTCCTTTAACATGAACTACTAGATTTGTAGTTCTGAATTTGATTACGGTGGCAAATTTTAGCTGAAATCAAGCTACTGCAAAGTCCGACTGAGTTTATTTTTGCGTGAACTACCGCAGGGCTGTGTTAAATAATGTCTGCCAAACTTTGTCATTAGGAGAAATAGCAGTTCTTTTTTACTTAGGCCCACCAGAGGTACCTGGATGGTGCAACCAAAAGCAGAGTATGATGTATCACAACACAGACATGGGGAATGAAACAAACTTACCTTCTGTGCCTCAATGATTTCCTTTCCCAAGCTAATGGCATAGCAAATCTAATAAAAGAAATATATGTAAAGTTAAGGTTTGGTTTGGTTTTTTGTTCCTTAACTGGGACTAAAACACAGAAGTGTCAATGCAAACTTAAGTCTTAAATACAGGTCTAAAAGCAGAGGTGGAATACCAATTCACTATGCTAACTACATAAAAATAAAACTGCCTTAGGTTCTGCTTCAGAGCTCACTTAGGCTGGTAAATCTTTGTACTCAGTTTTATTCACCAAACTTAATTGCCAAACCTGGGGGATATCTTCCAGTGCATGTAAGAGTTTTAGTGTTTTAAGACAGAAATTCTCCAGCACATTCCTTATTTTTAATAATCTGTTATTATCATACGCAGCAAGCACCCAGAAGTGTTAACACAGGATGGCCGTCTTGTCTTTGAAAGCTTTATTAATGTACATCTCAACATGGCTGATGCTGATTTTTGTTAGTGCTGGTGCCAGACACACACACTTTCCCCTCTCTCTTAACATTGGTATTAGCTATCACATCCTTTCCTCCTCACTGCACATGCTGCTGCATTATCTATAAATTTGGTCCTTTTTAGACATAAGCCATCAAAGGCTTGAATGTCAAGGCATGTTTTCCTGGCAAGAAATTGAGCTGCTCTTGCTTCTGTAGCCCTGCTTCCCAGATGTGCAATCAAGAAGCCTAAGACCTGTTTTCTAAATAAAGTATTTTATTAAGTGTTATGCAAACCTTTTCCCCTTCTGTGTTGCTCTCAAAAATATATGCGCTCATGGATTCTTCTCCCAGAGTCTCACTGAGATGGACCACAAAGCCAATCAGTCGCCTGTTATCCTGATGAGCAGCAAACTGTGTCACAGTGGCAAGTTCAAACTGGAAGAGTATAACAAAGAATTTATTTTTTTAACCAGAATTTGGTTAGCCTGGTCAAGAGCTCAAGTTCATGTCACTGAGTATTCAATGCTGTGGCAGAAAACCAAATTCAAAACAAAAGTTACTTACACTTGTTCGTGTAACTTGTGTTTGAGGATCTATTAACCTGCAATTATGTGTAGGGGAAAAAAAAAGTAAATTATTTTAGAGTGATTCTCAGTAATGTCAGGGTGCTTTATAACAGTAAGGCAATCACTATAGCAATTTTACAGATGAGGAAACATCTGCACAGAATCGAATGCTTTATCTCCGATTTCAAGTCAGTTGATGGCAAGGTTCAACTCTAGACCCTTACTCTCAGCCACCTGACACGTACAGGCCGTAGTATCTTTCTGAATCACTGATCTGGTCAGCATCCCGAGTGTGCGGGCTAACACACTAATATGCACAAGGACATAAAACACCCTCCAGCTGACGTGAATGTCTTGTATCAACATATTCTACAGTGACAGTACTGACAACAGGTCAGCGATAGCTCTTTTGCTGCTACTACATGCAAGGACAGAGAATATTCCAATGTGGGTTTTTTTCAATCTTTTTCTGTATCTTTGCAGGCCCTTATAGTCCCACTGCATCCCCTAAATTTTGGTAGGATGTTCTTACAACTTAGGATGATGATTTCTACATACTACAGAGTAAGAAAAGAGACATTTTTACTAAGTAAAGTGAATCTCAGTATCTTGCTCCCTCAAAGAGTGTATTTCTTGGAAAAACAAAACCAGAAATACTTTACTAATCACAAGTTGTATGAAAACAGAATGTGACAAGTTGAAGGTCTTACAGTACCTCAAGTTCTTGCTGGTGACCATGAGATGGGATTCAGTCATACGGAATATGTTGTGAATGGCACGAGCAGCTAACACTTGTCTCATAGCTTCATAAATCACCTCACTTGTTTCATCTGTCTGAACAGCCATAGATCCTAAAAACCGAACTACGAACATCTGCTGCAAAAGTGAATCTGGAAGATAAAAGGCATGACTTCCTTCACTGTGCTACTCCAATTTTCCAGTAGCTGAAGTTATCAATGAAATTATTTTTTTCACTTTGGAAATTCAACAGTAAACCTGCGGGTGGTGACTGTTGTGAGTAGTGACTTCCTGCTATGAGCCAGGCAGTGCTCTGACCCAGTTTTAAACAGTGCTGGTGCTGGCAGCTAGTGGGGAGGGGGCAGGGCGTGGAAATCACAGTTGCTTGGCAGCTTTAAAAGTGTAACTGGTCCTTTATGCCTTATTTGATTAGCTAGTAAAATGCACTTGCCTATCTCGTTATCAGGTGCACTTAAACTGTGGTAAGTTTATGATTGTGCACAAGCCTTGGCTTCCACCAAATTAACTCTTATCTTTAAACCTTGTACATTGCTCACGTTCTTCTATGTCCTTCTGACCTTCCATGCAGCTGGTTCCAATGAGATTTTCATTAAATCCTTCCTTGCTCATTGACTATCACCGTAAGACTCCTGTTTACAACTAAGTAGCCATCATTTGACCAGGCTCCGTTTACAGTTGGTGGTGAGCAAGGTAAAGCAGGATGACTCCTGCTGAACATGACTGTTCAAAGGCCACAACAGCTGTGTCTACGTTGCACAAGAGACCACAGAGAGCGTTAAGCATCAGCTTGAGCTGAGCTACGCAGATCCGCTTGTGCAGCCGGAGACGCAGGGCAGTCACCTCAGCAGTGTGCTCTCTCTCTGCGTGCTGCGGCTGCTGTGAGCGCGGAGGCACCCGCTTGTCACAGCTACACTGCTGTCCTGCAGTGGGATGGCACCTGCAAGTGAGAGTGTTCAGACCAGTAGGTTCTACGAGTAGTTTCCTGACAGGGGCTGTGGGTTCCAGACAGCGGTTGTAACTGGCACAGCGGAAGAGAACAGCCAGGGTCTGAGCCCTGCGTGTGCTGGTAGAGGCAGGTCTTTTGCTGGCATGTCACTGGGAGGAGGGAAAGGGGGCAGCAGTAAAACTCTTTTGCTGAAAGAGACACATTGCTGCAGCTAGCTATATCCTGGGCCTCTGTGAGATTTAGATTGTGGATTTCAGAGTACATGTGGGTATGAAATGGCTACTAAGCAGCCTCAAACTTGAGGCAGAATTATAATACAGTCCCATCAAACCCTTTCTAAAGAAGTCAACAGCTACTTTTTAAAAAAAAAAGAAAAGAAAAATTAAAGACAAAACCCAAGCAAACCAAATCTTTTTGCCTTTAAACATTTGAAATAAACCTAAACTGGAATACAGCTTGGACTGTCAAGGAAAAAGGTGTTTCTTTTCACAGGTAGAGATGTTTAAAAGACTGGCTTCTGAAAGGTAACTACCTTCAACTGTACTATGGGCCTGTTACCACTGCTCCATGGTGTCAGGTGCTTTCATTAAGAGACATTGGATAGCTCACAGCTGAATTAGGCCTAAAATCATGACTAATTTTGTCTGGAAAATAGAAGCACTGACCTTCCTCCTCATCTTTACTGCTGTCTTCTGATTCCCCAAATGGGTTTGCACGCCTATGAAATAAGAATAAAAACTAATTATGGATTCTGGTCACCACACATACACTGCAATACCCGTTTTTGTCCCCTGAAATCGCTCAAAGTGATCGATCACTGCCTCTGGTCATACCTGCCACCTCTGTTCTGGTCCAGGAATTCTGTGGCAGGCAGTACGATATCAAACTGAATTGGTGTTCCAGGAGCAATGAGTTGTGTGGAGTCTTGAATTCCAGCTGATTCACTGGGAATTATTTTATCATTTTCCATATTCCTTACATTCTGGCTAAAGTGAAAATGGAAAAAAATGTTTCAATCAATCAATGACACCCTATCTTTGCTCTGGAAGGGAGACAAGATTATTCAAAAATCCAAAGTGGGATAGAATCACTATACATAAACATAAATAAGAGTATTTTCCTATTTACCTGTTACCGAGGACTCTAATAAAATCTCCATTTTATTTTTTTGTACCTGAAATTAATTAGGGAAAAAGTAAATGCTGGTACATTACACCTGAACACAGACCAGCTCTGAGCGTGGGCAGGCTTTCAGCAATACATTGCTGTTTGCCTCCCTCCCCTCTAGCTGCTGTATGCACATCCCCATTATCAGTTCAAATAGCAGAGACCTGGACTTGTGGCTACAGGTGTAAATGGCAATCCTGACATCTTTTTAAGACCTTACTTGGCCACGGGCTTGTCACAATGTGATAGTTAAGAAGCAGCGTTACACACTGGGTCAGATTTCTTCCTGCACCTTTTCTCAAAGAGAATGAAATTCTAAGTTTCCCACAGCTACAGAAGTTGTAACAATACACATCACTACACATGGTACACTGGGTTTATTAGCAGCATCCTTCTATTTCTAGAAAGTTTTCTGGTTGCACACAGATGTAAGAGTGACTTGAGAGATTACTTGTCAAAGAAATAGCTATTTCCTTTGGCCAGTGAAATAGCTGGCAATACTCTTCTATTTATAAATCTCTAATCAAAGTGAAACAGCTGTACTGTGAATAAAATTAGAAAGAAATTGACTGGCACTCTCCATGGCTATAGGGAATCTTTGGAATCTGTAAGCAATCATAATAAAGGGAATCATAAATCATAGCAAAGGCACTAGCCTGAGAGGCAGAAGATCTGGAAAAGGTTTGAATTTCTAGAAGTATCTGAGTAAAAATTTAGAATTTTCTGACAAAACTAGCAGAGAAGTCCCTTCATGTTGAAGTCAGTGTGACACAAACTTGCCCTATTTTATTTATCACACTGCTTCTGAAAGCAGGATTTCAGTCCAGCACTGAGCTTGAAAGCCAACTCTGATGATGAAGTCTGAAGAACTCCCACTGAGCAAGATGCTAGGATCATGTGGACATAAAGAAATGATACACAGAATATGAATTTTGAATATAAGCCTATCCTAAAGAATTATTAACAGTTTTTGAAGGAGGGGAGCTTTATTGATTGACCTGGATGAGCACAAGAGAACCATAGTAATTATTCTGACAGCTGTGTAAGGCATATTCCTGTGACAGAATGACAGGAACTGCTTGAGGTAATATGCAAGAATATACTTACTTCAATGTATACTGGGGACTCCGCTGTATTACCTACATTACAAATCATTCCCTTACAGCAAAGCACTTACAAGTAAAGCATTGCGTTTGTTTCTGAAGAAACAGCAAAATCCCAGTGGCAACCACAAGAAGCTTCAACGCTGTGATGTGGAGCAGTAAGCATTACCCTCAACACTTAGCATCTCTTATGGCTATCAGTAGGAAACATCAAAAGTAGAGGAATTTGCTGGAATGCACAGGCTTGTAAAGCCAGGGCCTAGACAGGGCTTTCTCCTGGGTGACGCCCCATAAAAAGAGCATGACTGAGCACGGAGTCTCTAGTCTGTGCAAGTGAGACTGTTACCTGGGGTGGTGAACTTCATGTTTTTTCCCAAAGCTGGTAATGGGAGTCACTGCTTGTAGGGCTGTCTGATTTAACTTGATTGCAGCTGCCTATGAAAACAAGACCAAACAGCTCTTTTACACACGTACTTTACATTGCCATGTAAAGAACAACAGGAAAGGAAGTTGGAAGGAATGGACTGAAAGATGGAAACAAGCTCCCACCTCTGGATTGTCAGTGAGATAGATCTGTCTGGAGATGTTGTTGATGGCACATATCCACTGGAAGGGAAAAAAATGAAATTGAACTCTTCGAGCTCATTTGTATACAAGAATAACAGCATTAAGAAAGTATTTTTACCTCCTCATATTCTTTCTTGCTTTCTGCTTGAAGGGTTATACCCCTAAAACATAAACATAGTGTATGAGTGCTAACAGTGGACACCAGGACTGTTTGACTCCAGGCCTTATAATAACATCACCAAGCTTTGTAACTATTAACCATCTAAGGAACAAAAATCACGAATAAGCTGTAGCTAAAGGATACTGCATGTGCTGTTCAGGCAGTTGTGGGGGAGGATGGGAAGGAACATGCTTTTAATTTGGAAACACCCTTCTGGAAACCCCAAAGGCTTACTATTATAGCAAGCACGTTTTACATGAAACAGCATCTGAAAGGGTAGGTGTGACTGACTGTCCTCAAATAAAACCTGTCACATACGCTTTGCCTGTAGGAGTAGTGATCTGAAAGCAGTATCTTCTGTCTTCACAGTCTACAGCCATAACAGAGCAGTTGTCCAGGTCCTGAATCAATCCTCCAGCTACTGCTCCCCTTGGCTGACACATCAAGTTGCCACCTTGAGTGAAGAAATACAGTCTTTCCCAAGTTGTAGTCACCAGACCTGTTTTACTAAAGAGAAGATGCAGTGATAAAGACTCATTACTATTTAGAAATGACTCCGAACATATATGAAAGTGCAAACATATCCTGATGCTAATCTGAACTTTATGTTCAGCCCTGGAATTTTTTTTATGATAAGTCTCTGTTAACAAGTAAAAGTAGCACCTACTCTTAGCAGAGACTAATCTTTAATGAAAGCTGAAGAATTAAACTAATTCCAAACATTCCAAGTTAAAAACATTCTCTGCAGTATCTCCCAGTTAAGGAATAAAAAAATTATTGGTATTAACTGACATGAAATACTATTAAGCTGGATTAAAAAAAGTATTTTCAAGCTGAAGAGCAGCATGAGCAATTTCACCACAAAGAATCATTAAAAAAAAGCATCTTCTGCAAGTAGTATCTCAGAGTCCATCTTCTCCCTAGCTATGGAGTCCTATTATATTGTAATACAGCTCTTAGAATGCTCTGAGAAATTAATAAATGTCCACTCACAAAAAAAAAAATTATCAAACAGACATAAACTGATATTTAATCAATCACATAAACAGGGTTACTATATGCCACCAATATACATAGCTCCTGCAGAAGCTGATGAAAGATTTTATTTGGAAAAATCTGCAGAGGTAACTCTACGTATGGTATACATTCAAAGTTACACACTTATACTGTCCATAAAGCTTTTATTTATGTAAAGGAGGTCGTTTATGAAAACACATATTAACTACAAAATATAGCTGTTTATTTTTTTAAACACTATGTCTTCTTTAGTCCTAAGAACTGGGAACAATCTGAACCCAGACCCATCAATTTCTAATTTTTAACCACTTGAATGCAGGAAATCATCCCTGTAAGTGAATTCAAACAGAAGTAAACTTCTGTTTTCAGGAAAAGAGTCTCAAATGCCTCTTTTAGGCCTCTAAAACACATTTCCAAAGATGACAGAGATACTTAGGAGCTGAAAAGTACAGCTACCACAGTGATTCAGGGGCCTCAAACACCATTACCTGAGGAGTCTTTATGACCTTAAAAAAAAAAAAAAAAAAAAAAAAAAAAGTACCCACTAGTCAGCAACTAAACAAACTGGAGAGTAGCAACAGTTGTCTTACTTTCTAAGATTAAGGTAGCCAGCCTTCTGGATGAGATTTCTATTGATAGCAGGTGAAGTTACATCAGAATCTGGGGTGTAAACAGATTCATTAACTGCAATTAAGTCCTGCTGGGATACCCTCATTTTTTCAGCTTCAGCATCCAGTTCTCCCTGTATGCTGGAAAAAAACAAGAACCCCAAAGCCATCGTTAGTCAGTTTATACCAGGATATAGCTAACATCTGTAAGCCAAAATGAACAAAAATACCAGTTGAGATTATATTGGAGAGTAATGCAAAGATAAAGTTTATTTTTAGAACAGATTTTATAGGAAATATAATGTAATACTACATGTACAAGGCCTTCTCTAAGGACTAGATAAATCAGTGCAATTAGGAAACAATGGAAGAAAGAGGCATACAATAGGGAACTACTCCAAGAAAACGTCATCTGAGCCTAAAGAGACAAGGTGCATATGCTCTGAAGGTATTAAAAATGGTTTAAGGAAAATATGGCTATCTTTGGCAGGCTGGCAGCAGAAGCACAGCCAGGATTTCCCCTTGCGCTTTACTTTGAAAGCCTAGCTTGAAGATGTTAATCTCATTATGTCTCATACAGTAGCTATGCTTTCTTTTTTGCAATTTATACTAAACATAGTTATCTTCTTTCCCCAAGCAGTATAGAGAGACAGTGATCAGAATTATGAGATTGTTTTGTAAGACTGAAATGAACACATGAGAAATGCTTAAGTGTTAAGACTGAAGAGTTAAGTTTATTTTTTGAGAGAGACAGCTTCTAAAAGCAATGCTTGTATGAATTTACACTGCTGAACATACATACATGTTGCCCTGGTATAGCAGCACATATCATGTGGTATAGCAGCATATATAGCAGCACACATCATTGTGTTAGTCTGTTTCATGTTAGCTTATTTCCAGCTTTTCTGCATCTTTAGAAAGCTGAGACTTCCTAAGCTCCCAGATCACCTCCGAAATGAGACCAGCTGTGTGCATTGTACCACCTAGCCAAGTCATATGAGAGGCTGAGTCTTTGTAACTCAGCTCTTCTCTTACATGTTTTTACACTGTTAGCAATATTGACTATATAAATGAAAATACTTTTAAATATGAAGACTCAGTTTCACAGTCAGCTTAAACAGATGCAAGACTACATCACTGCTGATATTCTGTAACTGCACAATGGGTCTCATCAGCTTGTTGTTCCAAGACAAACCTGACGAATAAAAAGCTTTCAGCTTGATTAGCAAGCAGATCTGACTCACGGAGGCCTTGTGATCCCCAGCACTAAAGAAAGAAAGGAGTGGGCAGCACGGTTTTCAGTGGCTGTGTAATCTTAAGTCATGAAACCATGTCCTGTGTCAGTAATTGTTAAGCTGCACAGTGTCATTCAGAATTTTGCAAGCTTCTCTTTTGGTTTTTTCCAAAGACGTCACACTCCTGTACTAGTTACATTTGAGTTGTACTTTCAAGCTTTGCTGTGTGACAGACTTAAAACACAAAAACCAGACTCGGCAAACCAACTGAGCAGCCTATTTTTGATTCTATTTACTACTGCGTACTATCCAGAATTCAAATCCATCAGACTTTGGAAAACAAAGGCTTATTCTATGGTGAGGATACAATGGCAATATCCTTACTGTACCTATAAGATACAAGCAAGGTGGTCTAGCCTTACCAAATAAAGGACACTATTTCAAGTGAGTTTAAAATCTCTCCTCCAGTCTGTACAAATGCTGTGTGGACTGTGGAGGGATTTATTTCAGAAGTGAGTGCGAAAAGATATGTAAGTATAGAGGCACAGGAAGTAAAGCATCATTCAGTGAAAGAATCTACTATACAGGGAAATTACTTCTAACACTGTTCTCAAATTACAAAGTATGCATTATTTAAAATGCTACCAGAGGCAGAATAAGTAATGATTTGGATACAGTCCAATATGAAAGGTATGAAGCAATAAACTGAAGGACTCCGTTTAGTGTTCCAGCTGATTAACGTTCTAATATGATTACATTTTAAATGTAAAGTTTACATTTACAGGGACTTAATTAAAAAGAAAATGTCAATCTTCATTACAAGTGGGGGGGCAGGAGGGGAAAGAAAAAATAATCACAAAATTAGGAGTATAAAAGTGAGGCAGTTTATTGAAATAAGGACTTAGCCAAAGCAGATTGAACTCAGTTGTCTATACTGGATGCAATGAATATGTTCTGTAGGGCAAGGAGTTTTGTTTGCCTTGTGTAGCTACAACATCAAACACTACAGGCCCTAAATCCTTTCTTGGGAGGTTAATGCATTATTGTTACAGTATTATTACAGAAGACCGAGCAAGTATAAATACCTCTAGTTCAGAATGCACTTTAACTCTGTTATATTAATTCTGTTAACCCATTTCAAGCCCAGATTCCATGCTCTGTGTCCATGAAGAGACACAGCGATGTAAGAAAGCATGTGAACATTTTACAGTGCATAGTTCCCAGCTATACTGTAAAAACACTCTCTGCAGTGCAATGCCAGCATTTTCCTTTACATGTACAACCATACCTCCTTTCCACCTGCTGCTTTAACAAAATATGCCCAACAGTGCAATGCAATGCAAGCATGGAAGGACTCTCATGAGAAAGAAAGAGGCACTCTCTGTTATGTGCTGAAGGTTACAGTGCTAAGTATTGTGTTACCTTTGAACCATGTCTGAAACAGATGACAAAAAGCTGTCCATTCTTTTGGAAAACATCTCTGCTCCTTTCTTAAAAAAGTTGATCTGAAAAATAAAAAAAGAATGGAATACTGGAAGTTATCTTGGCTTTGGCAGACAAATAACAGATTGTGGGGACTGTGTTAACAGCGACTCCATTATGACTGATACTTTTGGCTGGCGATCAAACACATGGCCAAAACCAGCTGTATTGCCTTTCTTTGTATTTCTCACTTTTGCAACTTTCCACCCTTTCACACACACATATGCCATTGGCTGCGGACAGGTATGTTTCCAATGAACTTGCTAAATGACTGAAATAAGGGAACAGGTAGCCTCCTCCCATACTAGCACTGTGCAGAATTTGGTCTAGTGGTTTACGAGTCACTGTGTGCAATGCCACCATATCAAATGGAATGGGACACAAATCATCCATTAGATCTAGTAGTCCAACCTAGACAACCAACTCCAACCTGGAAATTTTTAAACTGCTATAGCAAAGTCAGTCAGGAAAGTGAAGTGTAGCTGTGCTTGCAGAAGCCTCCAGGACAATTAGTTATATCAACTACAGATTTATAATGGATTTTGTTCTACTGAAGGAGCTAAAAAAGCTACTAAGGCCAAAGCGCACATTTTGTGACAGAAGATGAATTCACTTAGCTGGTATGGCTCAGCAGGCACGCAACAGCAGCAAAGCACTCAGTGTAGACTTAGCCTTGGATTACCTGCTGCGGGGCACACAGTCATCATTAGGACTTACTGGCAACTGTGTGAAACATGGACATGGCTACTGCATTTATGCAATTAATTAGCTTTTTTTAAAAAAAATAAAATCAGTGAACTACTCCAGAAAGAGATGGAAAAAGCAAATTCTTGGCTGTTAAGCAATTTATTAGCTCTTTCATCCAATTTTACTTGCGATTCCACTCCTTTTCCCTAACGCTGGGACGTGGGATTCCTCTTACCTGTAACTCAGATTTCTGCAACCATGTTATTGACCACAGACTCCCTTTACAGACACAGGAAAGAAAGCACACTTTCTTAAGGAATGATTCACCCACTGTATTTCAGAAGCCTACTTCAGGAGGGAAGAGCTCTAAATTCCACTGATGATATGACTGACACGCCTAGCTTAGATATTGATGTCAGTTTTCAGTCAAACCAACCCTATATTAGCCACTGCTTCTTCCAAAAATCCCTTACGGCCTGCTCATTCATTGGAAATGTGAAATATGAGACACGTTTTGAGTAATTAATAAATAAAATATTTATTTTGGCTGAAGGGCAGTTCACAGTATGTGAGCATCAATATCAACTGGCTTCTGGCTACTCAGTCATTCCCATGACAACATAAGACTCTCCTGTATAAAGCACTGAGATATGGCAGTTTTGCCAGATAAAATACAGGGAAAGAAAGTTCTGTTTGGCTTCCAGTAAAGGAAACCAATACAGTTCTTTCACTTAGTATAATTACAGCAGAGAAGCAGTGTGAACTCCCATGGTGGGGAAAGTGACTGGATTCTCATTTATTACCTATTTTATATAGGGCATATGATCTGCTAAAGACACAGGACAGTGGAGATGATGAACCACACTACAATCTCAAACAGAGCACTGCATCCATTTTTTCTGTTTTCACAGCCCAATTCTCATTTTCCCAATGCTTTCTTTCATCAGTATCAAATCACAACAGACCCTTAAAATGGGTGGGAATAAGAATCAAGTGCTGTGAAAATACTAGTTTGTTGACCCACCTGACCCACTGGCGAGTTGGATTATCAGTATTACTACCGCATTTTACAGACTTGAGAAATGCTCTATCAAATTGCTGGCAGAATAAAGATTAGAAAGAGGATTTGCCAGCCTTATGCTCAATCCACTCTACTGTTTGGTCTTTCCACTTCTCCAGTGCATGCTCTGTTCCCTATCGCGTACACTCCTCATCAGTATGCTGAACGTTCTGTGCCAGGAAGGGAACTGCTACATAGGAGAGTCTGTGCAGACAGAGTAAACAGTGGAAGTAAATGCTGCTGCGCTGATAGCTTAGCCATGAAAAAATTAACCTCAGGCTGATTTTGCATGTTAAGTGTACTAGATTTTTTTTCATTTGTGTCTTTCCTGAATATCTAAACATTCAACTATCTTCCACAGACAACACCAGTTGTTAGAATCTAGGCAAGCTGAATAAAGTTCCTCCCCACCCCCCCTCCATTATCACTTGTCAGTTCTCAAAAAAAATTTCAGAGCTACAATGTTTTACTTTTCCCAGGTGTACAGACTTTACTGTCAGTACCTGTCCTCTTGTATATCCTAGCATAGGTTCCATCATTGCCACTCTCTTCCTGTACTGCAGAGCATTCAGGGCACAGTAATATTGCAGAGATGAAAGGTGCTGCTTTCTTCTTGCATTTGCCACTTCTTTTGCCACTTCTGCCTTAAGCTGAATAAAAATTGATAAAGAGGTTGACAAAGTGTTACTGTGCATATGGATTTATTTACTGATTATTTTCAAGTTATCTTTAAACAACTCTCATTACAGAACTTCTCCACATTAAAATGAAGGATGAAAAACTAAGAAAGCAAATCCAAAATCCAAAGCAAGTACTTCAAGCCCTTCTCTGTCAAGATACTTAAGCATTTGGGAGGCCCCTGTGACTATAAACTACGTAACTACCACAACTAAAATTCTGGATCTGCTCTCAGTGCAAGGAATTTATTAGCAGCTGAGATCACAACGCAAGCCTGCAAGCGCAGAATTCAGAGATGAATAATTCACAATATGCTATATCACATTCTGTTCTGTAATGCATTTCCTTTAAAGGACCATCCTGTAGAACTGATGCGCTCTTAGAATAGGGCCAATCACACGCTTTTTGGCATACAGGGATATATTCTGGAATAGTGGTCCAGTGAGCAAAGAAGAAACGTAAAACAATCCCACCAGAGTTATGTGTACTGTAAGTGGAATGACAATCCATACAGAGAAACTTAGCAGGAAGGTAGATGCGAAAAAATGGAATGCTTTATAAACAGCAGACACAAGGCTTCATGACAGTTCACAATGAATTGTACCCAGTGATACAGCATCATCACATCAGCTGTACAACAGTAGGCCTATACAAATCTATTTATAGCCTTTTGGATTGCCACTGTGTGAAGAGCTCCCCTGGATCTGAAGGGCTCTAGTTCAGCACAATACTTGATCACTTGCCTAACTTGGAGAAAACAGGTATAACTTTGCTGAATTGATGTTTAAAAGCTTTGTGTCTGCTTGGAAACGAAATCACAAGTACTCTTGAGCTACTGTGAATTTAACTGATGAACTCTCCAAAGTTCATAAGTGAACAATGATGCAGACAGAACAGCTGATGAAAACTTTTCCTTTTCCCTTTCACGTTTGTTACCTTTTCATTTTCTTTCCTTTTCGGTAACCTGCTATACTTTGCCATGGACACGTCATGTTCTGTAGACAAGGAATATTATTTTTTTTAGAAATGTGATGTGTGTGTGCGTAGATTAAAAATGTCTTCTGTGATATAATAGGTGCATACCATTAGAAACAAACAAAACACGGAAACATACCATTGCTAGCCAGGCCAAAAAGATCCTTCAACGTGCTTACTTCTGGAAAAGAGAAATTAAATATTCAAAGTAAAAACAGCTGTAAACACTTTGTTCAACTGAGACCATTCATGGCACATTTAATGCCTAAGTCACTCCAATCCTTTCAAAGCAGAGATGCATAAGTTGTGCCTTGTCTTGAAAATGATAAACCAGATCAACTGCTAGAGAAATGAACAGGCAGATAGCAAATTAAGAGTTGAGCGAGTTTACTTAATTGAGCAAGTTATCACTATGAAGAAGATTCCTTATCTGCCAGTGTAATTTACCTAAAGAAGCACCATTTAAGTATGCTTGTTATGACAAAAGGCCCACCACTATCATAAAAGATAGGCAGTTCTGAACAATTTCCTGACAATGCTTATGTGATATCTAAGTCCCAGAGACATATGAACTAAGCCCCTTTCCTGTACATGAGTCTTCATCAACGTGGAACATTTTTTGCAAAGTTCCTCTGTGAAAAGAAATATGTATCTAACACATCTGACTGCTGGCTATGATGCTTACAAAACAAACACTGGCCATGAGTGTCTGATGCAGGTAGAAGGAAGAGAAAGTAAACAGGCAACTCAACTTTCACAAGTGTTGGGTACAAGCTACTCTCAGTGTCCATACCAATGTATGCTGCAACCGGCAAAACCCTTCTCAAAAAGCTACAGAGAATGCACGTTCACAGAAACAGACATTATGCAACTGTGAAAAGAATAAGGGGAAATTGTACAATGTCATCATGGTCTCTGATTATTTGTAACAACCTACACATTAATCAGCTTCATGCCACCTTTTTCTCCCTAGAACACTTCCTCATGACTTGAATGTAGAAAGACCGCAAGTCTTCTCAGGTGTGACTAACTTGTACCTAGAGGTTTCTACAGTATTCAATACATACACGTAACAAGATCAAAAGTAAAAACAAGAACACAGTTAATCTTCCTCATTTAATCCTATGATGAAATTTCAATGTGGCCAGGCCTCTACTAAAAATGTTGTTCTACAGACTGGGCCAGAGAAAAATGGATGTTGTGATGGATGAATGGATAGAACAAAAAATATTTTGACGTCGAGGGAAGCTGAAGAAACTTTCATTTTTTGTCATGAAGCAGCTCAGGCTTTGGTTGCAAGCTTCACTTGCATTTTCCTTTTATGCCTTCTTTTATGAACCAGACTGCAGAATCCGTAAAGATGGGAGCACAATCACTAAAGCCACATTAAAGAGGTGGGAAAGTGTTTATAGAACCAAGATCTTACCATTCAAATACTGCTTTATATTTGACATTATATTATAAACAAGACATCCAGTGACGTCTTCACAATTTCAAATGAGATGCTATGATATAAGGAACTATTTTACTTAACTAGTCACTATTTTGCTGTAGTTGTTTTGTGTCCCATCAAAATGATGTCTTTAAAAAGTACATTAACAGGACTGAGCTTAGTGAGTTGAGAAGTGGACTTTTTTAAAAAAAAAAAAAAAAAAAGCTGCAGTAAAAACTCATGTTTCTGTTGCATGAGTAGGTTAGAGTGTCCTTGACCTTGAATATGAACTTCTTTCTTTTGAAATGACACCAAATGTTTGCATTATTGCTCTGCTGATTAAGTAATGAATTCTCAAGTTTGTGCAATCAGGTTACTTTGAACTACCCCTGAATGGCAAGGATTTAAAGAGGACTGATTCATTGAAAGGGAGGGAATACCCTATACTCTGAAGTTGAAAAAGCATTCTTGCTTGTGCTTTTCAAACAAGCCCAAACTTCTGAAGTGGGATAAATACTGTTTGCAAGCCAGATTCACTGCTAAATTTTCCTTCTTTAGGCCATTATAACATCAATTACTTCAGTAAAATTACACTAGTGTAAAAGCAAAGTGATCCAACAAAGAACAAAGCTGTGTATTTTCAAACTTGCACCATATGGTGCATAAAACGTTATGTGGTGAACTTGTACTATTTAAGTCTGAGTAAACGCAAGCACCTGTCAATGAAATTCTGTAGCAAAAAAAAAACCACAAAAAAACTTTTCTCTGAATCATCAAAGAACAAATTGTTACATAACATTATGTCTCAGTTTATTATGAAATAAGCAAGAAGGAACACATGAGGAAAATTAAAACTTAAAATTTACCTGTGAGATCTTTTTCCCGAAATTGTATTATTGGTAGAACCATTGTATCTGCAAGTTGTTTTGCCAGTTCAGAATGAAGAATATTGAGCTGAAACAGAGAATGGAGGAATGCTGTAAGACACAGCGTAAATAAAAAAATTAAAAATAACAGCACTCTACACCTGTTGAAGAAGCGCACCTGCCATTTGTGCCCAGCAGACAAAAAAAGGGTATTATGTACTTCAATATACTTCAGTGCTTAAAATACATTATCTCAAGATACGTGAGACAGGGGGATTTTCCCCTAAACGCTTAATTCCTGCCTGTTGTTTTCCACAGATCCAAGAACTTTTCAGTTCCCACATACCGTATTAGGGTAGTTCAGTTGACCATTAATGCTAATGCTTAAGCCAACAGGATTTAATCTGTAATTAGCCTTTAGTAACCAGTTTTTGTTAGTCTCTATACCACAGGGTTACAGTCCCACTACCATGACTAGAATCTCTTTCCATTTATGAGGGTTACCCAGGACACGATCACAACAGGGGGCAAACACAATAAAAGGTCCCATTCAAATATTCTACCTTTGGAGCAGTTTCCCATTCCTGTTTTTTTAAGTGTTTCTCTAAAATTCAGCATGTAGAGACGTATTTTAAAGCACTCGTGTGACGCTGTTTAGGACAAAGGCAAGGCTTTCGTGTCAGCAGTGGCATGCTAAGAATATTAGATGGGTTCAGGTAGGACAATTGTCAATCACACTGCTTGAGTGCTTACACGCTGACATGACATTCTGCCCACTTGCACGGTATCCTGGAGGCCTCTAAGCCGGGATATGCAGGTGAAGGTGAAGTCACTATTTCCCACTAGACAATACAAAACTAAACCAGGATAATTCAGCGCCTGTAGAACAGACAACTGAGAAACAGGTACAGGGGGTAGCTAACAGACAGAAAAGGAGGCTGAGGAATGGAGCAAGTTCTTGTGAGGGAAAACATGACCCACAGAACCGAACAGAGAAGCTCTCAGCTTCCTGCTCCCAAATGGGATGGTTCTTTTGTACCTGGGAAGAAGAAAGTTCTTGTTTTGATTTATTTGTAGTTTACATAGACAAGTACAAGACTGTGACAATAAATGCTCCTTTCAAGTATCCCCCAAGAGCAGACCTGCAATGGGAGAAGCCTAAGGGAAAAGTTAACCTCTGGGATTCTTCTCATTGTATTGTTAGAGTTATCCATAGGCTCTAAAAATTTTAACTTATTTTTTGCCCCACAACCCTCCTATCTCCTCTCCTCTCCCAAAAAGTAGACCTCAATACAGCCTTTTGCCTTCTTAACAAAAGTTGAAAGTAGATTAACAAGAACAACAACACTTTTCTGATGGCACAGCCCTGCTCACAACAGAAAGAGTGATGTGACAAATGATACTTAAGCAATAAGGACCTAGATACTAAGATTATATTGAAATGTTATATGGGCAGGTCTAACAAAAGCATTTAGAAAGACTCAGTACTCAGCAACAACCTACAGAGAGTAGAAGTGTTCAGTGCACACAGCTGTAGCACCTAACCTGCCTTCAGCAGGCACTTCTGCAGCCTCCTTCAGACATCTCTGAATTCTGTGTGATGTCACAGCAACTAAACTGCAACTTTACTAATTCACGGCTGCCCTGCATTCATCCCTGGCAGGTTTTGGCTCAAATTGCAGTGTTTTAAGCTTAAAAATGTAAATGTCATTTTTGAATGGAATTAAATTAAAAAATGGGCTGGTTTACTCTCTTTTCTAATTCCCTTGTTTAGGATGTTCAGCTTTGCTCTACGGACAGCATGTGGGATGAAGCCACAGAAACAGCTCTAACCATTATGAAGGGGTGATTACTATACTTCTTTTCACCCAATAAATGATTCTCTAAAACCCAGGCACAATCTAGCCTTCAGTGGAAAGGCTCAGAATCAAAAGAACAAAGACAAAAAGAAAAACTACCAATATTCCATATTGTAAAAATAGAATATTGGCAATTCAAATTACCTCATCCACAACTTTTGAAAAGTAATGAAGGGTGGATATCACTTCTTCATCTCCTTTACCTAAGGCAAAATGCTGAAAATAGAAACACACATTTGGTCTGTAAATCAATAAAGGTGAGTATAAAATAAAACGTGTTTCACTACAAAGGTAATGAATACTCCTACAAAATGCAATAAACAATAAAAGTAAATGGAAAAACAGTAACTCATTAATATATACTCTTTTACCCTGCTCCTCTTGTTTTAAATGAATGGGTATTGGACAACATATAATTAATGCTTATTATACTACTTTTAAAGTCATAGTCGTATAATAGGAACAAACTGGTTTGCATCTTCATGAATTTAACAACTCATATGTTGCACCTTTTTTTTTTTTTTTTTTTTTAAAGATTCTCAGAAGTGACCTAACTCCCTTGAACACGCTGGGGAGTTTTACAACAGCCTTCACATGAAACCAAGTAAAGCCAATGCCCTAAGCACTTCTGGAAACCACACTGTTTACACAGACGACTTGACAAAGAAATCAAAAGCATATGTTGAACATACCTGCTTTTCATAGGCAAGGAGCTGCTTCGAAAGCTGTTGCGTGGCAAGACACATTTCATTCTACAAACAAAATTGACATGTTAACAGAAATAATGAAAGGTCTTTAGCTCTTCTGTTACTACTACTTTGTTACTAGCTCCTTGACTGAATCTGCAACTACTTACACAAACATTCAGTTGTATGCAAACAACCAGTCCCAAAATAGTGGCATAGAGAAGCAGTAATAACAGCTACACTTCAGACCTAATCAACACACAGTTTGTTTAACTACTTTGAATACAGGTAGGATTTGGGGTTTAGTTTTGGGTTGGGGTTCCCCTCCCACCCCCCAAAATAACAAAACTAGAACAACCTCAAACAGATAAGCTGTCATACCAGCATAAGAATGCTTCATATTGGTTAATCATCTTTCCCCCAAATCTACAGCAATAAATAGAAACAGTAGATGTGCCTTTATATAATGCATTCATGCCCAGGGAAGGCACTGATGCAATTACAGTGCTTTAAGTTGATACAGGAGTACAAAACAGCACATAATTCTGTATTCGCATGGCTAAACTGGCCAATGAAGGTACACACATCCTTAAGACGTGCTTAAGCAAAGCAAGACTTGTAGGGAGGTTGTATAATTTTACTTGACAGCTGGAAAAAAACAGACAAGCATTTGGATATGTCAGTCTTTACTCAATGTATTCCTAACAAGTGTATCAACTCCTCTGTTCCCGATTTGTTAACAATGACTTAAAACTGGAATAAAAGAAAAAAGGAGAAGGGGGGAACTGGGACCTGTCTTAACCCCTGTCAGATCCCTCTCTTCCTCAGTAATGCAGAAAACTAGCTTAATTTCATTATAAACCTTAACATAATCTATTCCTCTCTCCAAATACATAAGGCCATAGAGAGTTTGTAAAACTCAGAGCAGTCTCTGAACTGCTTTAATAGCACTCTTTATGCTGGGGCTGGTACAGAAAACCATTAAAACTGGGACAGAGTTTGTGCGCTCTCTTGTTCTCCCTTGTCATCCTGAGCATGCGGAGCATGGCACAGTTAACTATCTGGGCCAGAGATTCTGAAACGCCCTTTACTTTGGCCTGATGCCACCTCTGACATACTGCATTACAGCCTGGTGCTTCTGCACCACCTTGGCATGCCAGGAAGGAGGTTAATATGGACAGCAAGGCCCAAACACTTAGCCAGAGTCTTAAGTATGCCCAAGTGCTCAGAAAGAACAAAGAGACATAGCCACAGCCTAGGTAACAGCGGCTGTATGTGAACATAGACCAGAATAAGATGGGTGAGCTAGTTCTGACCAACTTAAAACACTATGATGATAATACTCACAGATAGCTGGAGATGGGAGAGCAGAGGCCTTCCAAGGTACAAACAAGGGCTCAGAACCGAGTTAATCTGGGTCCAAACTCAGATCATGTGCACCCCATGACTATTCTCATCTCACAGTGATGGATTATTCTTGTTTCTTGTCTCAGACCAATTAGTAATGAGCATTACACTCAGTAACAACACCAAGGATTCATGTGAGATTTGCAGGTTGGTTATGCAGACCGTGTAGTTTTTAATATGAAAAAGCTTTACACAAATACTTGGCATTTAAGTATTTCCCAAGCCAGTGAATGGAAAAGGATGTTGTGCTTTATAATAAATTAACAAACCTTGTTAAGGGCTCAGGCAAGGATAGGAATGAGCCTTAACTATCTGCCCCCAGGCTGTAAGAACACCTGAGAGACTTTGCCACCTTCAAAGTGGGAGCTAGCAAGCAATGACTTAATGACAGGAAGGATGAGACTCCTTCTGTGTGGACTGATGACATTAAAGGGTTTGTTTGTTTGAATGCATGTGGGTGGAGTCCAAAGATGAATTTAAAATTACAAAAAGAAGCAGAGGTTCTCAGACCTACGATCTTTTTCATAAACAGAACCTTCAAGATAGAGCTGAGTAAGAACTGCAAGAAGATGAAGTCCTCACACAGCAACTGTGATGCCATCTGTCAGTTGTACAGCTGGGTCAGGGCGAGAGAAATTTTTTGAAATAAACTGCGTGTTAGAAACATTCCTCTCTTTTTCCCTTTTTGTTTTGGTTCACTTATTCCTGCAAAGTCTGCAACTGTGTGGTCTGTTCTGAATTTGGAAGATAAATGCTTCTGGCTTAAACTTGCTAACACTAAAAGAAGCTTCAGAATAATGGGCTGACACCAAAGGCATCCTATTCCTTTGTGTTAGCCATCCTCAAAGCTTCTACCAGTTTGGTTTTTGAAGACTGGTCATCAATTTCCTCACCCAATATCCAAAGAGTAACAAAGAGCATCATTACTCATCTGTGTGGGACAGTTTGAGGATGGGCAATGCAAAGGGGTGTGTGGAAGAAGCATCTTCCAGTGATCGCCACTCCCCAGGAGCAGTCTCCAGTATGTGACAGGATAATAGGGGAATACATAAACCCTGAGGGTCTCAAAGGGTTGTAAGTTAACAACATTTCATCAAGTATATGATCAGGTGACAATAATCACATATAGACCCCAAGCACACATTCATGGCATGCTACTCCAGGTACGGAACAAATTGATGGACGGGCCTGACATAAAATTTACTTTGGGATTTTGGGACAACAGTTCCACACATCACTGATATCCCATTGATGCCAGCAGGTCACATTTTTCATTTATAGGTTTAGTTCTTTGTATCAGAACACTACAAACAAACTTGTTACTCAATCCCTACCCATGTGGAAGAGTTAATCCTGGGTCCTTCATCCTCCCTCCCAACCTCTGTGTGACTTTGTTCCCTTTAGAGGTACAAAATCATTCATTATATCACTAGGAAAAAAAAACCAAAACCCCACAACAACCAAACACACCCCCCCACACACCACCCCCCACACCACATCACACACCCCCAACAGTTGTAAACAAATCAAATTAAGCTAGCAAACTGAAACACAGCCACAATGCATAAAGAACAGGAAACTGGCAAAGTGCTCTGCTGACCTCGTGGTAATACTGCATTGCTAAGCACACTAATCTGGGAAAGTTTGGTTTAATCCTCCTCCCATTTCTTCCTAATCAGCCTTCTCCCTCCCCTCCCCTGGTACTAATCAGTCTCAAGACTTAAAAGTTATTTGCATTGCTTCAACTGACAAATCCACTAAATGCAGGCAAATTATTTTAACAGGTTTTATCTATTTTCAAAACATTTTCCCATGGAATACAGCAACATTCACTTCTTTTATCCTGAAGTGACTGAAATTCAGTATATACTAGGAAAAGAAAAACTACTATACAATCCTGACCGCCTGCTCAGATCTCTTACACATTACTTTGACATTTCAGGATTCATTATTCATTTCTGGAGTGGGAGAGCTATTGATGAGATGATGTATCAGGCAGAAACCCAATAAAATCCTGAACAGAAATGCAAGTATTCTAAATTAAGGCAAAATTAACCAGTAATGGGCCTCGCAAATACATTCACTTTCATTAGAAGATTTTACTTAGCAGGGAAAACATCATTGCAGCATTAATGTAAAAAAGTATACTAGAAGGAAAGAAGAAATTACTGCGTGCAAATAGGTATCAAGTAATCAGTTATTATTACAGACGTGCTGTCTTTTTTTTCTTTTTTAACCTTGGCTGGCATGCTACAGCATGCTAGCCCTAGGAAAAGATTTTTATAAAGTTCACTAACACCAGTTCACATAGATAGGGTAATGGATGTGGTGTCTTCAATGTAGCATTAATCTACCAGAAATGAAAAAACCCAATCTCAAGTTAATTCAGTACCTCACCCTGCCTTCAAATAAGTCAGCAAGAAAGTGTCCAACTGTTATTTTCTGATCCAGTGCCAGAGCAAAGGCATGTGATTTTTCTGGGTTGATTCCACCTTCTTCATCATCACCTTGATTCACCAAGCTGTTCATATCATCAGAAGAGAGTATGATTCTTCTGTAACCGGTTTGTAATAAAATCTCCATGCCACTAACAATTTAATAGTGACACAGTCCATTCCTTTTTAGGGTCTCTTTTTGTATTTTTCCAAAATAAACTCTGAGGGCTAATACACTGAAGTCAGAAGATAATTCTATAGACAGTGGTCTAACAGACTCCAGATTTGAGGGCATGTAAAGGATTAAGCTGAGCTATAAATTAACTTCTAAAGACAGAGAGCTATTCCAGCATGTCCAATTCCAATCCCAATATAATGAAGCTTTCTGCAAAGCTACTTTCCTACTCCAGCTAAAGCTGGCATTTTTAAAACTCTGCAAGTAACCAGCACACAGAACTGCCAAAGGCTTCTTCTTGTAAACAAGCAAGATACCGGTAAAGGTAATTTATTCACTCACCATGTACATGCAGAATGACATATAATAAAATTTGGCTTACATCTAGGAAAGCTTAATGCCTGATAAATGAGAAAAAACCCAACAGGTAGGTGGTTGAAGGAGGTCCGTGAGGCAGTTGCAGCCTTCTCATCTTTTCAGAACTAGGGAAGACATTTACTTTCAAAACTAGGCACAGCACAGAAAGAACCAGGTCTTGATACAACAGTTTTACGCAGCTCTGTCTACATATGCATGTCACCCTCCTACAAAACAGAGTTCTCCAGCAATCTAGTAAATGTTACAGTCCTACAGGCTTAGGTTTGCATATTAAATAGCTTGGAAACATGAACCCAACGGTAAGAGAAGCTAAGCCTCACCAGAGTGCTCAGGCTGCCCAGCACTTTACAAGATCAGGCTCACATATGGCTTGCCCTGCCGCTGATTCACAGCATGGCATTCAGTCCTCACAAATGTGAACCGTTCAGCAAAGGATCATCTAATAGCTTCAAGAAAGGGAAGGCACTAGTCAAAACTCTGCTGTAAAACAGCAAAAGCAGCTATAGTAGGATGGCTAGTTCAATAGGGAAAGAATCTCTTCAGTTTTTTGCAAAACAATTACTATCAGCAAGGCATCCATACATTTATGCCTCCTTGTAGTACTCAAATCTCTAGATCCTGCTTAGCACAATGTTAACTTGCTTCCAGGCACGGAGACAACTCCAACTTCA